TCATTAATATTCATGTTTTCGATTATCCGGACTCTCGATTATCCGGACTATTTACCGAGGTCCCGACGAGTCCGGATAATCGAGGTTCGACTGTATATTGAAATTGTCTATTTGCAATAGGTGCGTGCTTCTCTATACTCTGGTTTTTCTTCAAAAAACTTTCAACGACCAATGTGTAGTTAACTTACTACAGCAGATGGATTTTAATGAATAAAAACGTCGGCGACTTGACAGGACGTGACATGGCTGTATATGTATAAGCATCAATAAGCCAACATGTAAATAATCAAATAAAGCCACAATAAACCTGTCAACAAAATCTCGAAAAGCCAAACGATCTAACTCTAAAATGTAGGATAAAATTACAGACACGAACACTTACTGGATCGCTACACATTGCCCGACTGTGAGCAACAAGAGCCAGACACGCTAAAAGAGTGAAAAAGACGGCGTGGAACCAGGCAAAACCAGTTGCAGTCACCACCTCTGGTAATAACATCACAAAAACTACTACAAACTCAGCATAAGCTATGAGTAAATACGTGAAAACCGCACATCCAATGCCAACTCCATCGTTGACGAACCACGAGAGTCCACAACAGTTCGATTTTCGGCCCATGATCGCGGCTAAATTCGCGGAAGTGCAATATCTCTTAGAGGGCTTGCGCCGGTCGCCATATTATATTATGCAGCTGTTAGAGAAGTGAGCCCGCGTTTGACCCCCCGTGTCATTTTGTTGTTATAACAACGATACATTCATCCGGGATATGGGAAAATGTCGTTCTCGTCTCGAAGCAACAGTTTTCTTCGTGTTTATGGAGTAGTGCAAAATGCCTGAACAATCGCCTGAAAATCTTCAGGTCGAAACAAAAGACACAGAGCCCGAAGAAGGCAGTGCTGATAAAGAGCAAGAGGCAGAAACAAAGCCGCAGGAAGATGTGCTTGATGGAGATGACATCAAGAAGAAAGATCCGTACGATGCCATGCGACAAGAACCTCATCTCACCAACTTGATTGTGGAATCATATCTCGGAGAGAAAAACGAGCTGGGTTTTTTTCATGGAGTTGGGACAGCCTATTTCCGGGGTAATCATGTGTACTCTGGGTCGTTTGTGAACGGTTTGATGGACGGGAAAGGGCAATACATGTGGGCTAATGGCATTAGATATGAGGGAGATTTCAAGAACAACATCATTGAAGGTACAGGTTTGTACACTTGGACTGATGAAAGCACCTACGAGGGTGAAGTGAGGGGTGGCTTGAGACATGGCCAAGGCACATTCACCTGTGGAACAATTCCTTCTTCATACACTGGAGAATGGAAATATGGCAGACGCTGTGGAGAAGGAGTTCTGCGCTATGGCAAAGAAGGCTTGTCATATTATGATGGACACTGGATGAACAACAAGAGGCATGGATTTGGCATGAGGAGGTATGCCTCAGGGAATATATACAAAGGAGATTGGAGGGACAATGTCAGGCATGGTACAGGAACTATGCACTGGTACGACAAGAATGAGAGATATGAAGGGCAGTGGGAGAATGGTGTTCAGCATGGCCGCGGAGAACATTCCTGGTATTTGAAGCGTGTTCCTGGCTCCCAGTACCCCCTGCGTAATTACTATGTTGGGGAGTGGGTGAGTGGACTGCGTCATGGTCATGGAACATTTTACTATGCCACAGGTGCTAGGTATGTGGGCGAATGGATGAACAACATGAAGCATGGCCATGGCAAGTACATATTCAAGAACGGTTTGGTATTTGAAGGTAAGGGTGTAGTAACCTGGAACCATATAAAATAGAGATTTATGCTGTGTTTATTTACATGTAGATTATCTACATAGCATATACTAGATTACCTTCCTTTCATTAAGAACCTTACACATTCTTTGAAGATCTTCAAAGAACTGGCGAACTAAAAGATCTACCATGGATATTTCAAGTAACCATAAATGACCCAAAGGGATTTTAAACGACCGTACCAAGATCTTACTTTTTAAGATCTTTCCACAAACTTTTGCACTAAGATTCATTGCTGTCCTTATTGCTGTGGGATATGATGAGGATTTTATTGATTCTTCAAAGGATCTTATGAGATCCTAATAAGACGGCGAAGATTTCAAAGTGAAAACTTTCTTTGCATTGGTTGATTTGACTCCCTTGTCCTGTCTTCACATGCCAGGCCATGTGATCACAGTTCAAATATGGCAGAGCTTTGCTGTGATTGGTTTAAATGTATCTTTAAAAAAAGATCAAAGTTCAACACCAGTAAATCATGACACTCTGGCCTGTAGGTTATCTTCACCGCCAGGTGAAACTCAGGACTTCATTGATTCAGTAAGATAGCAAGCCACAGCTTCTTTTCAGTTTTCCCTTCTCAATTTCAGGTACTTTTGAACTGGATCACATGTTGGACTTTCCAGAAATTAACCCCTCTGGCATGGTGACCCCTGACATAATGAACTCTGGGCTTCCAATTCGACCTGGCACCCCAGTGCGATCTGCATCGCCTTTCATGACCCTAGAAAATTCTGCAAATCCACTTAACTTGAGTATTGATCTTCTTTTTGATGAGAGGGATCTTGATTTGTATGAGCGGGATGATGAACTCCAACGGGTCACCCATGTAATGCTACGGCATGTTAGCAAACTGAAGAAGATTTACAGTTTCTACTCTTGCCTTGGTCGGCAGGAGTCTGTTGATAACACTTTTGTCATGAGTCGCCTTCAGTTCTGGCGCTTCTTAAAGGACTGTAAAGTCCATCATCATGGCTTTACTATATCAGAGTTGGACCGTACTATTGCACCAGATAACACGAATGATGTTCATGAGCCACAGCATGAGGTTCTCATGCGAGAATTTTTGAATGCGATTATCATCATTGCATACCATCTTTATAACGAAGACCACCATGGCCAAGAACCTCTTCTTCCGTGGTGTGTGTCACAGCTCATCACAGAAAACATCATGAAGAATCCTTGCAAAGTTGGTGGAAGCTTGTTTATGGATGACCAAAGAGCCATTGAAGCTGTGAAGTACATGTCTAAGAGCTGGGACATTTTTTGTGGTTTGTGCATTCCAAACACACACTACCCACATGAACTGATATTTAAATCCAGACAGTTTGTGTTTGTGCTCAGTGACTTCCGTCTCATCAATTCAGACTTGAGTCCCAAGGAAGTGCTGCAGATTCTTGCCAAGGATAACCCAGAATTGGCGCAAGAGGACTTCTGTAATCTTGAGCTGGAGATGACTTTCCTGGAGTTTTTTGAAGCCCTTATTGACTGTGCTACAGTCTATGTTACAGACGCAGTTCTAAAAGGACATCTCTCACCGAAAGAAACCCCAGTTCCATCTTCCAGGTCCCAAAGTGCTGCAAGCTTCACTCCAGCTACGTCAAAACCAGGGATAGACAGCCCAGATGAAGGTGAGAGGGAAAAAAGCCGATTGTTGCTCAGAAATTGAGAAAGATGAGGATGACACATACCTCCTGATTTTCCAGTCCCTTGAGCATGAATGTTATTTTTTCTTTCATTGTACATTATTTTTACTTCAGTTTGGTTTGCAGAGGAGGAAAGCATCAAGATATGTTTGTCAGAGTCTGTGGAGTTAATACAAGCAAACAGTCCTTTCTTTTTTGTGTTGTGACTTGTCTTTCTAACAGACTTCATCTGAATCTATAACAGATCAGTTTCCAACTGCAAACTCAGCTACTGAGACCCCAGGAGGTGCAGAGTCACCTGACAGAGTATCCAGAGTCATGTCTGTGACGTCAGAGCCGAAGGTTCCTCGCACACCATCAGCTGAATCACCAACAAAAAGCAGAGAGGCCCCTGTTCCCAGGCATACTGCCTCTGGTAAGAGAGACGATTTGCAGCATGCTACCCAGACAATTTTCAAAGTAACAGCACACGAGAAATGATCCTTCTGTAAATGCAAACAGTTTTAAAATATATGCTGGGGATGATCCACATCCATTGTCAGTTTCAGTCACAGGAAAAAACATTAATTGGTGGGATTTATATAAGGAATCCATTATTCTATTATTGATGAAATGATTAGAGAAGTGCGGAAAGCAAAAAGAAGACTGAAGAATGTAAAGCTAACAATGATAATCAAAAGGAAAGTGCGAAATAAACATGCTGATGTTGTTTGTTTAAGAGCGTTTTTGTAATATGCATAGCCTCCTTGATTTTAAGTTTGAAAGGCATTGAAGTGTTTCAGGCAATCCTGGTCCAATGTTTGTGTTAATGCAAGCAGACCTCCACCAACCAACAGCCACCTGCCTTCTATGGCTGCCACTCTATAATGACCAGATATTTCATTCTAACCATGGCCTGAACCATAGACCTAACACTTACTGAAACCTCTCTTCATTGGTCAGTTAATTTTGTCCACTGAATTACATATATGATAACTGAATGTAATATTCAGGTTTTACTTATTGTGATCTGGGGAATATTTCTCACAGTAGTTTCTTTTGTTCTCTCAACAGCAAAAAGCACTGAACTTCTCCCAAACTCACAAGAAGGCAGTAAAAGAATCCCATCAGTTCACTCTAGTGCAAATGCTGCTAATCAGTCTTCTGGAACTGTGGGATTTGAAGAAGGAGAACCTGACAACCTGGGTATGTTTGAAGTTTACAGGCAAATTCATCACGTAATCAGATTTCTCAGAAATACAGAAATTCCTCTCAATTACTCAGTCCCACTGCAACATGTCTCCTCATCCCCAGTTTGTGGGCACCAATACCTAAGACTCGGTCCACACTACCCCCGGAGAAATGTGAAAACGGAGGTTTCACTCTGAAAACACATCAAATGTTTTCCGTCCGCACTACGCCGGAGAAATTTGAAAACGCAACAATCACTGATCATTTTGGACTTGTGTTTGAGGAAAACTCTGGCAGGGAAATCACGTGATCATCGTGACGTCATCGTTTTCGAAAAGCTCCGCTTTCAAAATGTTTTTCGTCCACACCAAAACTAGCTCGATTTCTGCCGGTGTCTCGTGTCCGGTCTACATTGCTTCCCGAGAACTTTTAATCGAGCCTACACTAAAACGCAAATCCGGCGTTTTCAAATTCCTGCGGTTTGAAGAGCTACTTCGAAAAGCTCCGTTTTCGCGACGGATTAGCGTGGACGGTAGGCCTAACCGGTTAGATCAAACTGCGTTTTCAAATTCTTCCTGTGTAGTGTGGACGCTGCCTAAAACACTGCGGCCAGAAAATATTTTTAAACACTTCGGCAATGCTTATTGAAACAAACCCTTTTCCTCTATAAATGCCCGTCTCCTCTCCCCTGACGAATGGAAAATTTGATGGCTATACAAAATGCGTTTTGGCAGATTTACAAGCTGAAGATAACAGTGAATTAAATCGGAGGAGGAGTGCTAACTAGTTGAAAACGAGACCGTAAAGACTATATTTTCAAGGACAGAAATTGAACAGCTACCACCAAGCCCTTGACTCAGACCATAAAAGACCATGTATTGTTTTCTTGCATATTCTGGTCTTTAATTTCGCGCTCTTTGTTTTTTTTTCACGAGTAATGATTTTCGCGAGTTTTTATCTAAAACAAGATAATCGTGAAGTTCAGTACTTCCGAAAATAAGTAAGAATAAGAGAGCAGAATTTTATTTTACGTGCTCCTCGAGGTTTTGCCTGCAAACTCTTTCCTAATTAATAAGTTTGAGAATGTATCATCAATTCTGTTTCTTGCCTTGTCTTTTTGTTTTGTAGTCGAGGTTCAAAGCCCAAGTCTTGGAGTTCCAGCTGACCCCAGTCAAGTCGATCAGCCTGATCAACTACACATCTGGTGCTTGCAGCTCGACATCTTCTTTGATAAGTTCTTTCAAGCTGCAGATCACTTGGAGATGATCAAGCGAGCACAAGAGAAAAAATCTTGAGTCAACCGGCCTGTGTATTTATAATGTAAGAAGTTCGTGCGGTCATGTGAATGTTCCCTTTCGAACCTTAAATTGTACATGTGAACATTAGGGTGGCATTGTGACAAGTTTAATTATTTAAGGCCATACTGACGGCCTCTTGACAATGTTCATTTTGTCTTTAATTTGATATTTGTTTATAGAGGAAATATTAGGTCGTCTTTTAATCCTTTGGTAAATGGATTAACTCCATCATGGTACATTGTATAAAAGTGTTGTTAGGATTTTTTTTAGGTGTTTGCATGTACTCCAGCTGGAGGAATTTCTAATTTCAGGCTCCGTAATGTAGCAGTTTGCCGTATTTTAATCCATAACATGGGAAAATTCCTCAAGGATGAGCTGTCAAACATTTAGTGCTAATAAAACTTACTGATGTCTTTTATTCGAGTGTTCTAGTCTGATGTCACTTTACATAAAGAAACCAAAACATCATCGGTTCACTAACTCCTAATTACTATGGACACAATTATTTCTGGACACGATTTTAATACGCGTCCAATTACAAACTTGATAAACCACGCGCAGTTTTGTAAACTCCACAACATTCACTTACAGTGTAGGATCCAAAATTAGATGCCATCATGCTAGTGTTTTATTGTAAGCTAAGGGGCTGCGCCGGTGCTATTACAAATGAGTCACAAATAAGTAGCCCACAGTGCAGGCGGATTAGCGGGCTCTAGCACGATACACGAGCGCGAAGCGCGAGGGATTTTTCTCGCCTCGCGCTTCGTGCGCGCTCGTGTATCGCGCTGGAGCCCGCTAATCTGCCTGTACTGCAGGCTACAAATAAGCTCCCAGTCGACATTACTTTTGTGGGCAGGGGGAGGGAGGACGGGGTCTGTATGGGTGAGGTCTGCCGAGCCTGTCATATAGACTACCGTGTGGCACTAAATTTTTGCGGGAGTTAATTTTTGTGAATCGACGATTTTTTTGTATTTTGCGGGACCTAATTTTTGCGATTGTAAAAGACTGGTTTTTCTTGCTGGGTATTAATTTTTGGGATTTTCGGGAAGTCGCGTTTAATGGCAATCAATTTTCATTAAACTGCGTGCAATTGACAAGTGAAACAACATGTGGAGATGTAAAACACATTAATCCAGTAACCAGTGTCATTCTACCACAATTACATCGTGCTTTTGTGTGGCTGATAGCAGCAACAAGATTATACTTGTGATGTTTGTATGTATAATTTCGCCAGTGGAGTAAATTTTTTGCGGGAACGTTTTTTGTCGATCGTGGAAAATCGCAAAAATTAGACTCCGGAAAAATTTAGTATCACACAGTAGACCGACCAAGCTCGGTCAATAAGATGTTTGTTGACTTTATTATGTGGGCCAAGTTCGTGAATTTGGTAGTTCCCAGTCCTTGCGGGACACGGCCATATAACAGTAGTCGTATCGTCATCATCCGAAAAGCTCCGTTTTCAAAATAATTTTCCTCCAGGGTCAAACCCTCAACCGGTGTTTTCAAATTCCTCCAATTTGAAGAGAGTTTTCGCAAAGCTCCGTTTTAATTTGTGACGCATTTTAGTGTGGATGGTAGGCCTGACCGTAAACATACAGTGTGGACGAGCCAAAAAGAGAAACAACCTCTACTCCCTGGAAAGGACGCTGCAAGTTTCCTTCCCTCCCCTACTTGGGAGATATTTTTCCTCCGATGTCTTTCTTCCAATGCATTGTGGGTAATCAAGTGTGCACAAGGCATTTATGTTTGTCTTGAAGAGAAATCTGTCGTAAAATCGCGATTTTTTCTCTTTTGGAGGTTTATAATGTAGCCAATTGGCTTACTTTTAAGGTGTTTACAGCACATCGGTAGTATCTACTTTGTTTTGAGGCGAGAAATAATAGAATCGGCCTTCAAAAGTGTATTCTTGCTTCTTCAAGGTAAGTCTCGACACCTACGATTAGCTATATTTTTTTCGCTTTCTTCTTGAACCGTTTGATGTTAGTCTAAGGTTGAGCTTCCTTTTCATTTCAAGCACTATAATGAACCGCAAGAAAACTATCGACTACACAGTCACTCGAAGACCCAGAGACCGTAATTCATACAGTGCAAGCTCGGCCAAGTCTCGACCAGACAGCAGTAGAGATCAAAGCGGTCGAGATGATGGCGGCCGAGACAGCACTCCGTTTTGGTCTAAGGACAACAAGAATTTGGTGAGTTAAGTCATAACGTGAAACCTTTTTTATTATTAGAAATGGACAGTTACTGAAGGCTCCTTCCTACTGCACCGATACCTAAAGAAAAAACTTGCCGATCTTGAAATATTGGCCATGTGAATCTCTTGCCCTCCCCTAAAAATCACATTAAAAACGTAAAATTTGTGTGTTTTTGTCATAGTTAACCTTATTGCTGTTATCTTTGGTATTTCTCATGTTATTTTCTCTGCCTTGTCTGTAGCAAAACAATAGCACTTTAGCACTACTGTAGCAAAACAATATGAACTTAACGCAATGTTCAGTTTACCAAAAGTAAAATATATACAATATTCACATCAGGACATCCTCCCTTCCAATAACCTACCCAAACTCTGAAATGCAATCAAAGCACAAATGATTATCAATTGGTCATCCCAAGGTTAATAGCATTGCAGATCCAAAAAAAAAAACAAGAACCAAAAACCAGCAAACAAAAAAGAAAAGTAATAAACATCTATGAAAACTGGAACTTTTTAACCTGGTTATTTGTTTACAGAAGTAACCAAGGGGTGTCAATTACACAAGCTATATTCAAAAATGTACTTGATATTTTGAGGCACATTTTGGTAGGTGATATACAAGTGGACAGCCCAACTTATGACTGCCTTTTTGAACTCCCATAAAAACTCTGCATTCACTCAGTCCTTTAGGTGGACATTCCTGTAAGCAGATGCGGATGCTAGATTTCTCCTTTGTTTTTATTAGCCCATAAGTGGACACTCCAAACAAAATCCCATGAGCCTCATCTTATTTTAATAAATCAACTTATTATATGGCTAGCTCTGTGAGTGGGCAAGACGAACCAAATCCTGTGCTATGATTGGCTACCCAAGAGGCAAGATGGAGCTATCTTGCCCGCTCGGGACTACACGCCATGTCCCACAAGAAAAGTTTCCTCGAAAGCCATGTAATAAATCTTTTTTTGACCAAACTTGTTCAGTCAAGATGGCTTGATATTGGCCTCGTTCTCTTTTTGCGAGTTTATGGACCTCGACTCCATCTTGGTCCATTAACATCCGAAAAAAAAATTGGCCAATATCCAGCCGTCTTGACCTAACAAGCTTGGTCAATAACCCATATTTCTCATTGCTGTTCATCACAATGATTTTACAGTGCTTAAACATTAATTTTGTTAACTGTACCACAGCCTTTTGTTGCAGTGAGACTCTTCCCCGTCCGGCTCTATAAATTTCAATACTTCAGGATTGATGACTAAAAAAATTCTAAAAAAATCGGATTATTATCGTTTCCCCTGAAATTTGGAGACATAAAACTAGAGATAATNCTTCTCGACGTATTATTAAACTTTGTGCCTTAGAAAGATCGCTCGTATTGAATTGTCATTTGAAATTGAAGTTGTGTGCGCGCGCCATCAGCTTTTTCAATAATTTGAGGATTTTTCAAGAAACCAAACTCTTACCTGTCACGCTCTATAAATTTGAAAGCTTTATGGTTGATGACCAAAAAAAATTCTAAAAGAATTGGATTATTTTCGTTTCCCCTGAAATTTAGGGACATAAAACTAGAGATAATTACCTAAGCACATGGCTAGTTTCACGTGGGATGCCTGAATGTGGCCTACATGACAACATTGCGAAATCACACAATTTCAAGTCAAAATGGCCGCCTTTTGTTGAGCGAGCGATGTCCATGATTTCAACGTCCTGAAGATGTTTTCGGAAGCGGACAACATTCCTAAAGGTATTTGAAGTAAATACGAATGTAATTTTACGGTTAGCAAGAAATTAGACGCGAACATTTTAGGTAAGTGAGCTTGGATGACCTTCGCCATCTGCTACTCAAATCCACGCATGTTGTTCAAGTGCGACTAAATTCCCTTCGGACCGCCGTTTTTCCGTTTGCAATCTCGAATAATTCTTGAATTATGTGTCTTGAATCGTTTTTGGGATCGCNCTTGAGCTCCTCACGTTTTATTTCAACCTGAAAGAAAAAAGGTCAAAAAACATGTTAATGGTACAAGCTTTGGAGTAATTTGTACAGCTACAATAGACCAATTTCGATATATTAAAATTCAGCCTAACACAATAAACCTCAACACGAGGCTCTGGGGGAATAAACCACACAAATTCTGTGGTTATTCCCCAGAGCCTCGTAATGAGGTCTATTGTTTAAAACACTTTCCCGTCACGCTCTATAAATTTCAATGCTTCAGGATTGCTGAATAAAAAAATTCTAAAAAAATCGGATTATTATCGTTTCCCCTGAAATTTAGAGACATAAAACTAGAGATAATTACCTAGGCACATGGCTAGTTTCACGTGGAATGCTTCAATGTGTCTTACATGACGACATTGCGAAATCACCCAATTTTAAGTCAAAATGGCGGCGTTTTGTTGAGCGAGCGATGTCCATGATTTCAACGTCCTGAAGATGTTTTCGGAAGCGGACAACATGCCTAAAGGTATTTGAAGTAAATACGAATGTAATTTTACGGTTAGCAAGAAATTAGAAGCGAAAATTTTAGGTAAGTGAGCTTGCATGACCTTCGCCATGTGCTAATCAAATCCACGCATGTTGTTCAAATGCGACTAAATTCCCTTCGGACCGCCGTTTTTCCGTTTTCAATCTCAAATAATTCTTGAATTATGTGTCTTGAATCGTTTTTGGGATCGTAGAGCTCAGGAACTTTGGAAAAAAGCTTTGTTTTGTTGAGTAAACACGCTTTTCGAAAGGACGCGTAACTCGATTTGAGTTAATATTCAACTGGCTGTCGCCATGGTGACGGAAATGCGAGATTTTTAATTAGATAAAAAAAAATATTCTAAAAAATTTCGGTTTCGATGGTTTTTCGCTCTGTTTTCAGGATGTGTT